AAAGTAGACAAACACACACAGACAGGAGACAAAATATAGAGGTGTTGTTCAGCACTGGAGGGAGGGCGACCACAGCAGATGACACCACACGCTCTGCGCTGCATTTTGATCTTTTGGAGATGAAATAAATATTTTATAAGACAGTGGGTTCATTCTGAGGCAGGAAGAAGCTTTTATTTGTGTACAAACCTTCAGAGATCCATGAATGAAACTGTGAGAATAATAAAGTTTGTTTTATGGATGATTTTAGTTTTTAGTTTACGGACAGTAAGAGAGCTCAAACCCCGACGACCAACTGCCGAACGGCTGAGAGCGACCGGTCTGGGTTCGAGTCCAACCCATGGCCGCACGTCTTCCCCCGTCTCTCCCCCTGCTCTTGTGTCCTTTCTTTACTTCATCTATCAAATAACTGAGATAAAGATAAAGATAACTGATAACAAATAAAAGATAAAGATAACTGAGCTACAACATGGCAGAGCTGCCTCTGTCACCTGATCAATAACAGTGAGACATTCACATACATGCAGTCACACATGTGCTTCAAATACAGTAATGAACCATCAAGTCATCGTCCAGTTTCACCTGTGATCTTGTGTCACCATTACTCTCTATCACCTGACAAACATGACAATAAGAATAAAATGTGGAGCTGCTTCAGTGTTTCTGTCACTTTGTGCAGATCTTGACTCGTCAGTAATGTTTGTAGGCTGAGTGCATTTTTAAAACAATTTGTGCAAACTGCACAACAAGGTGGAATATTTGCAAAATAACAACTACCTCATGACATTTTGTCTCAAAAATTAATGAATATGTCAGTGCCATTAGGATGAAATTATTGTGTCACCAACATTTTAACATTAGACATATAATTCTAACAGCCTCTGTAAACTAATATCCTGGCTGCTCGAGGCTGTTTTCTCTGACAGTTTCAATCAAAATGAGAAATGCTGCTCTGAGACTGAGAGAACTAATAGTGCTGCTGTTGTGCAGTTAGTTTCCGAAATACTTTCTTATATCCAGGTTCTTCCTCTTTGCTGCCGTCCTCCTCTCCTCCTGCAGCGCAGGTTTGCCGCTGCTGAAACTAAACAGAGCTCCCCGAAAGGCTCAGCCAGTCACATTGGCCAGATTTGTCACATGAGGTAGGAGTCCAGTAGAGGACGTAATTTAACTTTTTCTGCACCGCTGGGTGAATGAGACGTTTTTTCTTTTTATCGGGTTTGTTTTTCTTTACTCGAAGAGATCAAATTATTGGTGGGGACACGTCCCTTCCGTCCATGCCAAATCTACGCCCTTGTAAAAGAGAGCAATAGACGGTATGCTAAACACACAGGTGCTATCTCGGTTTTTTTCTGCTTTATTATTTCTAAGTTAATGCAAACTGTGAGTGACTTCTTTCCCCAAGAAAGCAAAATTTGTCCATCAAAAGAGAAAAGAAAGAAAGGAGAGGGAAGGAAAGCTTAACCGATTTATCCAAGTAATTTATTTATTATTAGTTAGAAATATATAAATGCAAGAAGTATCCAGCGTCACCAGTTTTGACTGTAAGGAGTGGCGTGAGATTATTGTCTCAGTCTCAAGTGGAAACGAATCAGCTCTTACTTTGTGTACTAAGCCTTAAGGCTCGTCTGCCCACGGCAAAGTTACGACACACCTTTAAATCTCTTTAAATACTTTCACTTTCACTCGGGTCACGGGTGGATATTTTTCAGGAAAACTGTTTAGTGTTAATGTGGTGAGTAATTCAACAGAAGTACTGCAGATACGCTCTGGATGCGTAAACAGCTGATCATTAAACCACGCCAAGCTTCAGTATTGACGTCACTGACTGATAATCGATCACTGATCGTCGTTAGGTGAGTCTGAACACATTTGTTATTCTCTCAGTAATTTCTTTGACTGAAACATTGTCCTGATCCCTGAGACTGCTCACAGACTCAGCTCAGGTAAAAACTTCACTTCAAACACATCCAGAAAATTAATCAGAAGATTTGAGGCGGAAATACAGAAAACAGCCCGAAACTAAAACGTGATTTCTAATGTGGAATTCGATTCTCTGATTATCAGTTTGTTTGGAAAAATGAGACGTTTCCGGTTTCGTTGTAGATTCATTCATTTATTTTTGAGGCTGAAATCATCAGAACGTGTAATGATAAATGCACGATTTTAAATCTTTAGCACAAGCAGGAGGAATAACGCACATAAGTAAAAGTTACATATCATCTGTATTTGCCTTGTTATCAGTTAAGCATCAACAAACATGTTTTTGCAAGTTATACTGTTGATGCCTGATAGTTCATAAATTATTAAATCTTTGATTTCAGATCTATTTGTCAGAGTTCCTGTGTCAGTGGACACACCCGATTCTATAGCTTTCCTACTTACGGAAGTACAGTATGGGTTTTTTTTAACATTGTAAGATGACGTTAAAAAAAAGCTCACTCTGCTCAGCACAAACTGATAAGTTGAGGAAGCCCCCTCACCTTATTTTTGTTTGTTTTTTTGTTTTTTTTATTGTGTTTGTTCGATAAAAATTCCCAGTGGAATAAAAATATGTACATTGGTTGCATGCAGTAAAATTCTGTTTAGTCCGTCTTATTCTTCTGTTAAAGCCGCACTGAGTTTGTGTCTTTCTAAGCTCTGCCCGTCTTTATCCACTCAGGATCTCTGTGCAGGCATCACTGCAGCTCCCCATCTGTTTGAAAGTGCTTAAAAGAACTTCGTATGGTTTTGGGAATGTTCATCCACATACTGATGAGCATTTTTTTTAAACACTAAAACTTTGATTTAAACAGTTACAGTCTGAATACTCACAGAGCCTCTGCAGTGAGACTCAGACCAGCCAGATATCACACATGCAGAGGCTGCATTACCACCAGAGATTAGACATTTAAAGTCAAGAAGTCTGTATTAACCAAGAAATACATCCCAGAGTCCATCATCACCAGGAACAATTAAGCTAGGAGGCTAATATGTGTTTACATGTAAATGTGTTAATGTCTGTTTAACTTTCATGTTGGCTGGAAATAACAATATCTCCCCCTGCTGGTACTGCAGCTTACTGCAACTTCTACAAGCGCGATATGGACACCGTGGACTGGCGTGTCCAAATTTATACAGCAGCAAAGCACCACAACAGTTGTCTCAAGGCACTTTATTCTGTAAGGTAGACCCTGAAATAATACAGTAGCGAATGGTCTTGACCACTGTGGCCTCTGCCCCCTGCCTCCCAAAAAAGGGACCAAAAAAGCCAACTGCCACCTAAACCCCCCTAAACCTAAATGTCAGTCAGAGATCATCTTTGTAACAGAATAAATCCACATTTTCTCTGTATTACAATAAATCAGTTGGAACTCATTTCCACATCTAATCCCCTGTTTTAACCTCTGATCTTTGCAAAGACTTGATGTAGCTTGTTAATAGATAACAGTTGCTCCATTAGTCTTATATACTGCTGTTATAGTCTTATATTATAATATAGTCTTAAATATTGAGAAAATATGTTTTGTCATGTAATTAATATCCTCAGTGCTTATTCTCGTATTATATTGTTTTATGTACTTTAATAATTATTTTCTTCTTCCTGCTCCTTTTCACACATGGTTGTAGTGCTTTTTGATAGAAAGTGTGGTTGGTTTGTTTGAATTGTTGTACCAAGTGTGAAATAAATAAATAAATGAAATAATGAAGGTTTGTAGAGCAAGGCCACTTTTGACTCAGCCAGACTGAAAAACAGGAAGTTAGTGCAGAGCTATACAAGCATATTAATAAATACAGGAAGCCAGACAGAAAAGAGGAACTTGTATCATATAAGGAGTGTTTGTATCTAAACTGTGTGACGTGACCAAAATAACACCTATATGTGAGACGTTTTTAAATTCTAATGTTAGAGCTTCTGCAACTGGCTTTTGGAGCTGTGCAGGGCTCTTTCTCTTCCGGAAGATGATTGAATAAAAGAATTATAAATGTTTTTGACCACTCTGAGTCGGTTTTCTCTGTTCTATCATGGGGATCAAAGAATCGGGTTTTAATAGTTTGTATAGAAATTTGCAGGTGTTTCCTAAACTGAAAAACATCATCAGTCACTGTTGAGCCTCTGAGCAAGCTTCCATAGAGGAGCATGTCTGTATCAGACTGTTGGGCACTGAAAGGTCTCCAAGCTTGTTCTGAAGCCGCCCTCTGCTTTCTAAGCCTCTGATCCTGAAATGATCTCTGACATTTTGTTCCATGCAAATCAGCTGCTCGTTCATGCTGCACAAAAGAAGGTTTAAAAAACAATGCTACCCATCAACTACATTTTTCTTCTACTGTCACGACTGTTTGTTTAAAATATTTCAAACTTGGTTTAAATCTGTATTATTGTAGGGACCTCTGATCACTTTGAGGTCAAACACAGTCATAAAAGAATCTGTTTTCTCTTTAAGCTCAGCTTTCATTTCCAATTATTTACATTTCAATACTTATTGTAACACACACAGAGATTTTAGGTCTGACCAACTGTCTCAGCTGTGGGCAAAACATGACAACCAGTTAAATTCTAAAGCATAGTTTATTAGTACAATGATTTGAAAAAATGAAGGGATAAGCAGTTCAGTGTCCCACTTGCAACAGGGAAAAATATCTCATCTTAAATTTGGACATGTGACATACCTATACAGACAGACATAATATCAGAGCAGTGTTTGGAGTGTGAGCTATAAGTAAACCAGAGTATCAGTGCAATCAAATACATAATGCAACTCCATCACAGCCGCTGCAAAAACAGTCACAGCAAATGTGTTACACAAAACTACTCCCAAACCATTATTTCCCACAACATTATGGAGATGAATTAATATAGACAACATTACTCCACCACGTTACCAGCTCCGACGTAATGTTTCAACTTGAGCTTATCATGTAATTGAATGGAATCGTTGTGCTGAGTGCATTACTTTACGAACTGCTACCTTGTTTTTTCTAATCGTATTACTTTTGTTTCTCTAGTGACTCTTTCCTCCATCATGGCGACTGTAGCACCTGGTGAGTCCAATAAGAATTTATAACTAGACTGAGACTCTGCAATATAATAAAACACAATCTTATAGGAAGAAATCGACAACTAAATAAAATATATTCAGCATTAGTGACAAGATAGAGCAAATACAGAAGGATAACCTACACACCAGCTTTACTCTTCTCTGCACAATCAAATCAACCACACAACCAAGTTGGGAAACCACAGAGATAACATCAACAAACTGGCTGTAACCCTAACTGCTTTAAAGTTGTTCTTGAAAATATTTTAACAAGTAAACTGTCAGAATCCTGGGTCTCTCAATCCAGGGTTTTGAGTTCCTTGTATCTTTGTGATTTTGTATTGCGATTGATGTTTAAGGTTCTCTTTGTTGATCTTAGTTTATTCCATAGTGCTCAGTGTTCTCGTTTAGGTTTCCTGAGTATTGAATAGGTTCCCCTCGTGTAGTTGCCCTCTGTGTGTCTGTGTTTATATTGTGATGTTAGTTCTGGTGCCATGTTCTCACTCCTTGTGTTCTGTGTTTCCTCATCCTGTCATGTGCTCCTACATGTTCTCTTTCTCCCTCCAGGCTGTCTCTGTGTATTTCCTGTTTTACTTTGAAGGTCTGTGTCTCATGTTGGTGTATACTGCTTTGCTTCCTTGTCTTGTCAGCTCTGATTTCTCCTAGCTGTGGTCCCCTCCTGTCTCCCATTCCCTGATTGCTCCTGTGTGTATATAATCCCTGTGTTTCCTCCTGCTTGTTGCTGGTTTGTCTGTGTTTCTCCCTAAAGTCTCCCTCTGACGTCTCCCTATGTATTCAGGATTAGTTTTCCCGATTTAGAGTTTCTTGAGTTTTTGCGTATGCCATCTCCGTTCCCGTTGAATCCTGCACTCCCTGTGAATAAAACTCCTTACCTCACTCCCACAGGCTTGCCTCATCAGCTGTGACATAAGCTGTGTAAACATCATCCTTTAGTTTAATTAAATATGAATTCCCTTTTAAATTTTATAGTTATAGAATTAATGTCATGAATTACAGCTAAATGTACCTAATAACCAGGTATATCTAGCATATAAGTCTATAGATTACATGTCAGTCAGTCGATTAATTGTGTTTATCTGCACCTTTGATGTCCTGCCAGCAAACAGTGAGTCAGACTGAGCTGTGTCAGCCTGCTGTTAGAATATCTGGGCTTACAATATTCTGTTGGTGCAGTATCTTAGAACTAAACTAACTCTGGATTTGAACACAAATGAAACACAATGAATCGATGCTTGTCTCTTTTTGCTTTTCTATTCTGTTTTTCCACAGTGTCTGAGCTGAGGGTTGTTCTGCTGGGGAGCAGCTGGAGTGAGAAAAATGAAGTGGGGAATCTCTTACTGAGAAATAATGTCTTTAATAATAAACCTAAAGGCTGTGTGAGAATTGGTGGGACACTGGATGACAAAAAATTAGTTGTCATCAACACCCCCTACCTGCCTCCTCTCGGCACCTCCCACCATGAGCTGACAGAGTTTATAAAAGACTGTGCAAAACACTCTGATCCTGGACCTCATGTGTTCCTGCTGCTTGTACAGCCTGAAACCTTTACAGAAGAGCACAGACAGAGACTCTGCAGAGTCCTTCAAGGTTACAGTGATCGATCATTTGATCATTCACTGATACTGACCTCAGCACCCAGAGAGGAGAGCTCAAGTTCTTTGGAAGATTTCATGAAAAGTTCTGCATTAAATGAAATGATCAAAAAATGTAACCGCAGATACTTGAAGAGGAGCGACATTGAACATTCAAAGCTGTTAACACATTTGGGTGAAATTATGAAGGACAACAATGGAGAGCATGTGAACTATGAAGCTTTTGAGGAAACAACACAAACAATAGCAGGAGAGCAAAAAAAGACTCCTATCACTGATAATGTGGGTAAGTGGAGAAGGTTTGTATGTATAGGCTCTGACCAGCTTATACATGCAAAAATATTTATATTTTCACAGTAATCAAATCAAATCCCTCCTTTAATCTCTCTCTGAATTTTTTTTCTGACAGCAAATAAAATCATCTGGGATTATTCATGTATTTGAAATTTGGTATTAAATTTCTCAGTGATTAACTCAAACATCCCACAATTCTTTACAGCTAAAACCTTCAGTAAAATAATTTTACTTTTAAACAACTAAAATGTTTTGTTTTGTGTAATGTCATTTTTCTGGGGTGGCTGTAGCTCAGGTGGCAGAGCAGGTCAGCCACTAATCAGAAGGTCTGTGGTTCGATCCCAGGCTGC